GTCAAGTGACTCTTCTTCAGTTCTCTCCACAGAGGCTGCCAGACCTGTTGAGTTTTTCCAGCAATTTCTGTTTTTGCTTCTAATTTACAACATCCACTGTTCTTTTAGTTTTTGATCAATATGCCAATGCAGGAGCATCGATGATGCCGGTGGGGTCATCAAACTCTCTCCATTGAGGCCAGAGAGCTGCCGGTGACTAGTGATAACCTCAAAGGCTTCGCCAACACTTCCCTTCCCTCACTACAGCATGGACTCGCTGAGATGTAACTCTCACAGTCATATCCATAAAGTCCTCTCTGGAGGGGGTTCCCTTTCCACAAAGAGGGCTTGACATCTGTGGACATAGTCAATTTTTAACGTCCTGTGATGCTGCAGCCAGCAGCTCTATTTATACCTTCCATATACTCTTACCCCACAAGCAGTCTCCTGCCTCATTCAGCAGCTCCCAGGGCTGTCAGGGCCAGACTTGCTGAATTTCTCCAGCACTTTGTTTTTGATAGGGGTCCTCTTACTTGATTTCCCATTTCTCAAGTCAGCCCGCTTCCTTAATTGGACAGGGGTCCTGGAGGCAGCTTCATCATTGGCTGCCTCCAGGAAAATGGCAGGCAACACCCTACCATGGCCAATTTGAAGTTCCTGACCGATTGTTGAGGCCACATTCTGGATATGACCCAACTAAGATAATTCAACATGGTGTTGCCAATTCCAGCAAAGAGCAATACTAGAGACCATTGATATACAGTAATTACCAAGAAATCCAATAGGGAGTTTGTTTCAGAAAATTTCGAATTCACGGCCACCAAGGGGTAATCAAGCTGAATAACGTAGGTACATTTAAGAGGAAGAAGGGAAGAAAATATTGGAGGGATAAATTAATGCAGGGGACATTAATACGGACCTTAATAAATTAATGTCTTTATTGATTAATGTACCATCATTATAACAGGATTAGAGATGGTAAATTAAAGGTGTCATTAACTGATGGTACAAAGACAGGCGATAATTAGGGAGTGAACTAATGAGTGGTATGATCTGGAACTGTCTGGTAATGAGGGTAGTGGAAGAAACAACGAATTCAAAGAGAAACAGCATACAGTTGAAATAAACTTGCAGGGCAACAGTGAGAAAGGTATGGGACTAACTGGATGGCTCTCTTCAGACAGCCAACATGGACTGGACAGGAAAGGTATAAACGGATATGGGCCAAACATGGACAAATGGCACTAGTTCAGTTTATGAAACCTGGTCGGCAGGGACGAGTTAGGCTGAAGGGCCTGTCTTCGTGCTGTATGAATCTATGATTCTATATGATGTAGATTGAGATGCTGTTTAACTTGATGCACAGACATGAAATACAATTGTTGCTCTGTAAACATCTCTGTAATTTTAAAAAAAATTGGTGCAGTTTACTCCTCGACACATATTTAATAAAATCAATTTCCGTAGTAATTTAATCAAAGGCCTTTGCTGTGAATGGGAAAGGTTGGGGAGTAGGGGGTGAAAGTCAGGAACTCATTACCTCATTGATCAGTGATGTGAAAATACTCACAGCTGAATACTTATGTCTGCTCCTTGCCGACTCCCTGGACACTTTTCCAGACAGAGGCAGCAGCCTGCTTCCCGGTGCTGTGGGAGATGAGTCACTGCAGTCAGTAGCTACTTGCTGCCTCTTTGTCTGAGTTCTGAGGACCGTTAACGGTGGTTTGTGAAGCGACAAGCCAGGTAGGTCTGTCAAGACACGGTCATCGCTTCCAGTCTTATAAAACTCACGATCGAGAATATTGCCCAGACTTCTGGACGGATGACAGTCAAACTGCATTTCCATCTCTGAGCATGGGACAGGCCATACAACCGTGCTCAGGCTGATGGCTCTTTTTGGCTCAAAGGCCAGACGGCAGCAGTCAAATGGGTCACCCTGGACTGTGCCGTGCTTCGACCTCCTCTTCTTCCTCTTCTGCTTCTTCACCCGGGCCAGCTCGCTGCCATCGGCCACACATTCCCTGCTTGCTCCATCCGATTCCACATCCCCTTCAGACTGATACAGAAAACAGCTGCCCGAAATGGAAAGGGAGGAGGACCCTCCGACATCACTGATCCTGCCATCTACAGCTCTGGTTAAATCATTCCTCTCACCATAAGGACCAGCTTGGCTCTGTCTCTGGGTACCGTCACCACACCAGACACCTTTATGCACTTCTCGGCTGATACCTTCCTCCAAGGTATCACCCAGCACAGGAGCCCTGGCTGCGGTCTCTCTGCACCACTCAGCATCCCTCTGCTGGATAACCTCTGGTGGAAACGGCAGCTCCTTGTTTTTCTTCTTCCTCCTCTTGAGGTAAAGTTTGCTGCGGGGGTAAGGAGATTGATCCAGAGGAGCCTTAGCAGGGTCTAATGCACATTCTTCTTTTTGTGCTCTCACACATCCACAAGTGTTTCCCATTCTTCTCAGAAGGAGTAGAAGGCAGTCTTTGCGAGCAGAACCAACACCTCACAAATGTTTTTTACCCAGTTGAAATCCTTGGCTGCAGATTTATCCATAACCAGAAATTATTCTCACTTTCTCTGTTCCTCTCCAGTCTGTTTTTTCTGGCTGCCTCTGTCTCCTTCTCTATCTCTCTCTCTCTCACACACACACACACAAACACAAACACATACATAGGCTGTCTGTCCTTCTCCTTCACTCTTTCTGTCTGTCTTTCTCCGTCACCACTTCTCCCTCTGTCTCTCTGCCTTTCTCCTTCACCCTCTCTCTCTCTTGCAGGCTGCCTGTCTCTCTCTCCCTCGATGCGCAGCCATTTTGCATTTGTGAAATGTTCATGCAGCCAATGATGGCATTTAGCCCAGAAAGGGCCTGTGTCTGATCAGTCCATAACCAGCCATGGTTACAGCAGTGGAGTGTGCTCGGAACTGCACTCATTCAGTGGGTGTACAGTAGGAGCACCCAGCGACTTTGCTGAAATTTAGCAGAGACTCCGTGCCATGAGATAATGAACGGAAAACTCCCAGATTAGTCACAACGTTTTGCTCCTCTCAAAACTGCAACACCAAGAGAAGTGGGTTTAAGTAATGCTTAAGGAATTTGCAGCAACCTTTGAAATCATTAAGCTATGTACATATAGAGAGCAAACAGTTTGGTGCTAAAGAAATACAGTCGGCATGAGAGTGGGGGAGGCGTTTGGCACCTTTACCAACCACAGACTCTTAGGGCAGAGAAAAGTGTCTTCGAATAAAACTAAGTTGTGATTTAAATAAAAATCCTCCTTAAAACTTTATTAAATGATAATTAACATATTCCACATTCCTAATTAGCATAATGAAATCATTAGCATTCCAACTGTGTCGAGAGGAAGCAATTGGACTTCAACCTTATTCCCTGTTCTGATTTAAATATATTTATATTACATAACAGGGAAGGCAGACAGAGAGAGAGAGAGAGAGAGAGAGAGAGAGAGAGAGAGAGACACACACACACACACATTTTCCCTCAATGAGTTTTACATCCTGCATAGTAACAGATTCACAAGTACTCTTTGCTGATTTGTTACTGCAAACTTAAAAGTTCTCTCCCTATAGGCTCTGCTGATAATAGGACCGCTGGGAGAGTGTTGGAGGGATTCCATGAAAACAAAACCCATAGACTGGCCCCTGAGACAATCAGACCCTGGGAATTCATGCTAAGGCAGCTTCCACAGCCAGAGATGCGATGCTCCTCCAGCAGCTCAGTATCGGTTCCTGCAACAGCCTGAAGTCCCCATTGTGGGCTGTACAGCCAATCTCTCCCCCTCACTCCCCCCGCCAACCTACATCATGATACGTCACCCTGCTCCACTCCACCTTACACTGAGCCACTTCATCTGCGCAGCCCATCGTAACATCATGTCAGCCAATTGCCTGACCCTCACAGTCTCACAAAAGGTGCTTATATAAAGCTAAATCTTTCACTATATTTCTCTTCCTGTCTTTCTTTCCAACACAAACTCTGATATATAGAGTCCATAACTGAAAAAGAATTGCATTTATGTAGCACCTTTATGACCAATGTCCCAGAGCATTTTACAGCCAACAAAGTCCTCTCTTGAAGTATTGTCATTTTTGTGAACTGGAAATATTGTTGTTGCAAGCAAGTGGCAAAAAGAATGCCTCCACCTTGTAGTCAACTATAAATTGTGGTTAGTGGGACAAATCTAACAATACGAAAGAAATTTCCATTTATAGGGGTCACATAAGGTTGCATACAGTCTAAACGTCACCATCTCTCTCTCGCTCTGTTGAATCCGTGTCAATAAGTCAAAATAACAAGAATGGTTGAGCCTATTCCTGGACATCACGTCATATGACCTTCAGGCCCAGTCAAATCATTGCAACCTTCCATCTTCAATAGAACTAAGCAATGGAAGCATTTAAAGGAAGCAATTCTCTTTAAAATACATCCCTTTGTTTTGTTTAATTCCCATATGATTTAAATAAGCCGTTTGTAGCTGTGTCCTGCAGATTAATCTTTAATTCCTGGCCATAACCTTAAATACAGCTTAAAAGCAATAAATCTGCAGATGCCAGATGTCTGAATCTGTCAATTTGTGTCAGACCATAAGAGACACAGTACCATCACTAGTCCAATTTTTAAGAGCAACTGGAGAGGTGGTGACGGTGTAGTGGTGATGTCAATGGATTAGTAAGCCAGGCTAATGTTCTGAGAACATGGTTTCAAACTCCATCACGGCATATAGTGACATTTAAATTCAATAAAAAGCAAGTCTAATGGCAATCATGCAACCATTATCAATGGGCAAACAACCCATCTGGTTCATTAATGTTCTGTAAGGTAGGAAATCAGCGAGGAGTGACTATTCTCTTTCAGGAAGAAAGATACATGGTGGCTTAATGACTTAAGAAATCAGGCAGTAGTGGTGGTGGCCAGCCCGAACTGTTCAAACTGACCCCAATGTCTCAGTACTCAGTTACATCTTCAGCATCCTGACACTTCACCAAATTAATTCCGCAGGCAACTGTCTATTCAACTCATCAACTCAATCTAGCCCAAACACTTGCACCCTCCGGCCCTTCCTTGTCTAGTAACTCTAGCGGAAAGATGATGTGTAAAGATTTGAGCAGTAAGATCAAACTGTTAGAATTCTGCATATAATTTTGCTATATGTAACATTACCTGAACATACTTACTGGTAGATATCATTGAACCATCATGAAGAAGAAATCCTGTCTATGTTTGTGTAGTCCTTCTCAATAGTTACACAATTGGAATTTATTGCAGTCTGTGCACAGAAAGAAACATCTGTACTGCATCAGTATATGTCAAGTTTGTACCATAGTCGGTCTTGTAGGACAGTATGGTGGCACAGTGGTGGGCAATGCTGCCTTACAGTGCCAGGGACCCAGGTTTGATTCTAGCCTTAGATGGCTGTCTGTGTGGAGTTTGCACATTCTGCTCCTGTTTGCATGGGTTCCCTCCCACAGTTCAAATATGTGCAGGTTAGGTGGGTTGGCCATGCTAAATTGCCCCATATTGCACAGACTAGGTGGGTTAACCATAGTAAATGTGGGATTATGGGGATACGGTGGGATGCTTAAGGTTATGTGTGGTTAAGGTTATGTTTACGCTTGTCTGTGTTTGCCTTGGGATACTATGGTTACATCGTCCCAGTTAAACTGATGGCCTTCATTGTCCGAGTATACTGATATTAAGGAAAGGTTGTCGTGTCGTTTTGCTGCATGTTCGTGTATTCTGATGGCTAGTTTCCTTCCTGTTTGTCCGATGTAATGCTAAAACAACAAACATAGACACGCATTGGAATTTCTAGAGTCATGGTTCTCAACCCATAATGTAATCAACAAACATACAGAATTGGACCCCATATACAAACTCATACAGAACAAAACCGGAAATGACACTACTCACCAAAACGAACCAGACAGTATAAATTCCAAATGGAGTAGAACAACATCGCTTCATCGGAGGCCTCACTGATGACGTTACCTAGCACGGTGACAGAACATCTGAACGAAAACAAACCAGCTCGGTGAGCAAGTCAACAACCTCACCCACAGCCCGAGCTACGGATCTTTGCTAAAACCTTAAACACCTTACGGGTGCAACAAGCTAAAAATTCCCCAACAATGGGAAACCTTCACCAACCGACTGAGCTCTACCCGCCAACAACTTCACTTTCTCCACGAATGCCTCAGGAACTAGGTACTGCCCCACAGTGTGAAGTACAAACCTCCACTCAACAACCCACAGGCATAAAAAATAGCTGGACAGAACGGATGCAGAATGCTATGGGTAATGATTAATGATGCCCGTAACCAACTCTACAAGTATGAACGGGAAATTTCGCGCCAAAAATCACAGTATGTAAACACTATGGACCAGCAATGGACTACAACCCTAGAACAGGCCATCACCATCAAACAACACACGACCAAAACTAAGAGACACAAGCTACAGGAGAAACTTACCAAACTAATCCACCACAAATATAAGGTCAACAACAAACCGGACACATAGATAAGAAACCTATCCAGCAGCCAACTCACAGAAACTGAGAAAGCTGTCCTATTACACAGACTGAACTATAACCACAAAGATGCGAACAGAACAGACGTCATGGCTGCCCTGGAAACTACATTAAAAGACATCAGACTCATGGACGAAACACAACAAGCCATCTGACAAACTATGATCCCCACGCTAAGCAGAGAGAAAAGCACTAAAAAAAAAACTCAAGAAAGACAAGAACATTATAATCTGACCAGCAGACAAAAGATGCATGACCATCATTATTAACAAACCAGACCACATTGAGAAAGTAGGAACTGCAGATGCTGGAGAATCCGAGACAACAAGGTGCAGGGCTGGAGGAACACAGCAGGCCAAGCAGCATCATAGGAGCAGAGAGGCTGACGTTTCGGGCCTAGACCCTTCATCAGAAAAGGGGGAGGGGAAGGGGGTTTTGAAATAAATAGGGAGAGAGTGGGAGGCGGATAGAAGAGGGATAGAGGAGAGGATAGGTGGAGAGGAAACAAACAGGTCGAAGAGGCGGGGATGGAGCCAGTAAAGGTGAGTGTAGGTAGGGCGTTAGGAAGGGGATAGGTCAGTCCAGGGAGGACAGACAGGTCAAGGGGGCGGGATGAGGTTGGTCGGTAGGAGATGGAGGTGCGGCTGAGAAAGCACAGGCACTGCATGCAGATACAAACAAACACTTACCAACAGGTGGTGATAGACCCAACACTGCAGCTAGGTAATAGGATCACCCAGATACTGACGAGACAAAAGGATGCAGGATAGCTAACCAAGACAAACTGCATGAGAATGAAACTAGAAGGCATGAACAACCCCCGCTTCTATGGACATCGTAAAGTGCACAAACCAGTCATTCCCTTCAGACCCATTGTTTCCCTACTGGGCACACCTTCACAAAAACTGGCCAAGGACCTACAACAGAGACTGAAACACCTAGTCAACAGATCACCCCATTCCACCCACTCAACTCAAGAATTCCTCAATATCCTCAAGAACATAAGAATCAGCGATAACAAGTTTATGGTATCCTTTAATGGCACAGCATTATTTACATCAATTGACATCCCACTAGCCAAAGAAACACTGGCCACATTACCAGAGAAAGGAAGAACGTAGAGCAGCAGCTCCACCAGCAATGACAACATACTCAAATTATTAGAGCTGTGCCTC